AATAACAAACTAAATAACCAATTATCCAACTAACGAACTGTAAACCAATTACCCAACTAACGAACTAAATAACCAATTACCCAACTAACGAACTGAAAAACCAATTATCCAACTAACGAACTATTTAACCAATGAACCAATTACCCAAATGACTAACTAATTCACCAACTGTGTATCCCCCCCCCCTTCCAGGTAAACTGGCACCTGGTGTTCTGGGGCTTCATCCTCCAGTTTGTGTTCGCGATCCTGACCCTCCGTACAGAGGCCGGGTACAGCGCCTTCAAGTGGGTGGGGGACCTGGTCTCCGACTTCATCGCTCTCTCCGACAGGGGGACCAAGTTCGTGATTGGAGACATCAAGGGAGGGGGGCTTTTGTTCCAGGTGAGGATTGCTGCACGATCTGGTTCATAATACACGTCTATCTCATCAGACAAATATTACGATTTATGCTAAGTAACCTGAAGTTGGAAGTCAGTATTTTCTCCCGATCATTTCACTTACAGCTTTTCCGGCTCCAATTTCATCCTGCAGTGTTTGCTGTGTTTTTCAACTAACTATTTGAGTGTAACGCTCCAAAAGTAACCACTAGGGTGTACCATTCTTAAAGGAACCAGTTGTGGGTACCCTTTCAAAATGAACTAGTTGCACGTAACCTTCAACAAGTAACTAGTAGGGAGTACCCTGCAACAAGAAACCAGAAGCGTGTACCCTTTCAAAAGTAACTGTTGCACGTAACTTCCAACAAGTACATTTTATAACTAGTGGCGTGTCCCCTTCCCCAGATGGGAGGTGTGGCGGTGCTCTTCTACTGACTAGTTCCGTGTATTTTTCCACATTGATTTAGCTAATTGTATGTAACCCTCCGCAAGTAACTAGTTTCATGTTTGCCGTTTTACCGTTTATTTCTTTGTCTTAGATGACCGTTGGGGCACCAAGGATAACCAGACAAACACTTTCTCCATCCTTCTCTATTTTCACCCAACTTTAAACATATCCAACCGTTGTCATCCCATCTCTTTTCCTATCTAATCTGCCTTTCCTTCTCCTCCCTTGTACGGTGTCCTGTAGCATCATCTTGCAAGTCCTATTCTTCTTGCTATGTGCCCATACCATTATCAATTTGCGTTCCTTTACAGGGGTAAAAAAATCTTCACAGAGCCCCTGGCATGCCCGACTTTCCCCCTCTCTTTTTCATTCGTAACGTGATCTCTGTAAGAGATGCCAAACAGCCTTCGAAATCAATTATTCATTTCTGTGGCTTGTATCTTTCTCTCTAACTTTTGTTTCACGTAACCTTCCACAAGTAACTAGTTGTACGTAACCTTCCACAAGTAACCAGTAGCGTGTAACCTTCCCTAGATTGGCGGCGTGGCTGTGTTCTTCAACTCGTTCATCTTCCTCATGAACCACTATGGAGTGATTGAGGTGGTGGTCAAGCGACTCGGAGGTCTCATATCTCTGGTGTTGGAGACTGGACCAGTGGAGTCTGTGATAGCAGCCGCTAACATCTTTATCGGACTGGTGAGATAATTAACTTAAAAAAGCTACCCAGAACAAAGTTTTAAAAAAGGAGAGTGTCGGAGGAAAAGGGACGGGGGTGTGTGCTCAGTCTGGGCTCTGATCTGGAGTCACTAGGGTGTTCAAACTAGGTTAAGATTCAAGCAATGCCTAGGCACACCCCACAGCGCAGCTTTAGCCCCCGAGCCTAATAGAACCATCTCAGCCTTGAGCCATGCAAGGTCAACACCCCAAGGATATTCAGTCAGTGAAAACTTTAACACCTGGGCTTAAAGGACAAACCAATGAAATCTCTTTCTCCCCGCCGGAAGCAGAGCCTGATTGGATGGAGCTGCAGTTGTGGAAAATAGTAAAAGACACCCAGACCAATCACGTCACTCTTCGAGTTATGAGTCTCGGGTGTTTCTTTTGGGTTTTCGCGGCGTTTTACTTTTTATCGGAATATATTTTTATGTTTCGTAAAAAAAAAATTGTGAACTGCTTTGCTTTGATAAGAAAGGTAGCTTTTTTGTGAAGAGAACCAGGGAGGGCTGAAGCTGCAGGCCCCACCCCTCAAGACGCCACTGCATATGTAGCATTGCCGTCGTGATCAGATCGAATAAGTGACATTGGTTGAATTTTTCAATACAAAGAAAAAAACTTTATAAATAACTTTATTTAATAGAAGGATGGCTTACAGTTATCCGATTTTCAGACTGTTAAAAAAGTCCACTTTTGTGTGTTATTCGGAAATTAAGTTTTAACAAGCATAATGAAACAAGAAAAAAAATCAAAGTCGAAAATTATTTAGCTATCCGATATCTCCCCGGGGCAGTGCTACTGACTGAAGTGTCTTTAGGCCATTCCCAAAGGAGGGACATTAACGATGTTCTTATGCACAGTAGAATTGAAATTTTAAATGGACTGATTCACCAATGTCATGCTCATAAATGTGCCTGAAATGTCACAGGGAACTGCTTCTATTACTTTCCTTCTCCTTACTATCGTCATTTTCCTCTACCTCTTTTTATGTTTGTCACACTCTTGTGACCCGCTATTTCCTGGGTGCCTTGATAGTCGAAGCAGACTTAATGCCGTTGAAGCTAGAGAGGTGAGCAGAGTATATCTTATTCCCTGTAAGGGCTTCCCTGTTGACATCCACCCCTTGGCGCTCATATGACCTTATGCAGTTGCTAGCGCCGTAAAACCCTCTACTAAAACTAAAACAAACAAGTTATCCGATCTATCACAGTGGCGACGCTACTAATGCTTTTTTATTACCCTTATGTCAGATGTGAAACTCTCATGGAATTAAATAAGAATTTCACTTTATTTTCTATTGTTCACGCTTTGTCCATCAAAGGAAATTGTTAATCCCTCTCAGCCTGGCTCGACCCAGTGACAGAAATATGCAATTTTTAACCCATTACAAGAGATATGTGCACAACCTGTACTTATTCATTACTTTACTTATCAAATGAGTGTTTTATGAAATGTGATGTGGGCCAATGGCCTATAACACTGAGTAAACTTACTTACTTACTTTTTTTAACGACAGACTGAGGCGCCACTTTTGATTCGTCCTTTCCTGCCCCACGTGACCCGCTCTGAGCTGTGCACAATCATGACGTGTGGCTTTGCTAGCGTCAGTGGGAGTACCTTGGCCATATGGATACGTCTAGGGGTAAGTGTGTGTGCATGTGTGTGTGTTTTTTTTTAGTGAGTATGTGTTTATGTGTGTGTATGTGTGTGTTTGTGTGTGTGTTTGAGTGTGTGTGTGTATAATATGTTCGTATATGTATGTAAGTGTGTATGTGTGCGTGTGTGCGTGCAAGCCTGAAGAAATATAATATATAAGTATAAGAAGAAATTCAAAATAGTAACCACTACAAAGTGATAAATCTTGATATTATCTAATCCTCTTTTTCCCCGTTTTCTTCCCTAACACTCCCTCCTTCCATCCCGTTTTCTTCCCTCACCAATCCCTTCCACCCCTTCCTCCCATCCCCTTTGTCCCTCTATCCCATATCCTCTCCTCCCCTCCTCACCTTGGCTCCTACCTTATACCTCCCTTTCTCTCCTACCTCCCCCACTCCCAACTCATATCCCTTTCCTTTCCCTACCTCCATCTCCTCCAAACTCCTTCTATCCCTCCCACTCTCTCTTTCCCTTCCACACTTTCTTTCCTCTCCTCTTCCACATTCCTAAACCTCCCCTCTCCCTCCTCCCTTCCCCCTCCTCTCCCCCCTTCCAACCCCGTCCTCTCTCTCTCTCCTCCACCTATTTTATACCCTTCTCCTCTCCCCTCCCCATACTCCTCTCCTCAACGTAACCTCCTTCCTTCCCGTCTACCCCCCCCTCCTCCCCACACACAGGTGGAATCGAACCACCTTCTTACAGCTGCTGTGATATCGGCGCCGGCTGCGCTAACCATGTCTAAGCTGATTTGTCCAGAGACAGAGAGCGTGGACCTCAGCAAGCAGAAATCTATCAGGATGACGGATGACGAAGAGTGAGTGAAAACATAAAGACAGATGAGAATGAGAGAGTGCTTTGTTTCTACTTTTCGAATTTGAAAGTCAGTAAAATATTCATTGACCACATGCAACCATTACCACGGATTAACACAAAGAAAATTACCCCCTTTCCCATCAAGTCAATATTATAGAGTTCAAATGCAGCAATGACAGTTCAAATATAAAGTTTGTCTATTTAATTCAACATAGTGAGTTCAAATTCAACACAATATAAGACGTAAGCACAAGTCAGCTAAAAAATAAACACAGGAGGGCTCAAATTAAAGGTAAACACTAGAGAAATCAAATTCGTCGTGGTCTGTTCAAATACAGCGTAGGAAAATTCAAATTCAACAATAGGAAAACTGCGAAGCTGAGACGTAATTAACATCTCCGAGACAGGGGAAGCTACTCTGTATCTTAGCAACGTTCTTTGTTTACTGTTCGCGCCTCTCGCCTTCAACACTTGCCTTCTACTCTCTAGATCCAGACCCATCCGTAATCTTGTTTTAATAGATTCAACAACAATTTGAAACAATCAATCGTTTGTAACACGTCTCATAGGAAAATCACAGCAACGTAACCATCTAAATTCGTGTTTGATTAGACAAAGTTGTGAAAAATCGTTGTTTCAACACTTGACCGAAATAATATGCTTATTATTCTTATTCTCATTCTTTTTCTCATTCGTATTCTCATTTTTATAATAATAACGATAATAATATTGATAATTAGGCTAATGATAATAATAATGTTAATAACAACAACAATAATAATAGGGAATAATAATAATAATAATAATTAATAATAATGATAAAATAT